GTGATTGATATCCTGACGGCAGCACGGGAACTGGACAAAGGCCAAATTGGGTCGGACCAGATGCTCGGTCTGCCTATGCAAATGACTCTGATCGTTTTAATACATTAGCAAAGAACAATGACACGTCTGTAACGAGCCCACAAAAGCCTATTCAAATTCTGCCCATAAAGTATATGGAGTGCACTGCTTTCTCAATCATCATGACTCTCCATTGGACATGTTGAGTAAGCACGAACAGTTGTGAAGTTAGTGACAAACACAAGACGCAAAAAATCACAATATTTGTATGTACGTGACAGAGAAATATAACATATACAAATAATTAAATGACACGTCTTTGCACTGCTAAATGACAAAAGTACTTCAGTGACAGATTTAATCTTCGCTTTTAGAAAAGGACAACATTCCCATGCCAGTTTATCTGATAGACTGAAACAATACAATAAATATACTTAAATAAGCTGAGCACTTTAATACTGAATCTTGAAATCAAAACAATATTGTTAAGCATAAAATGATTCTTAGGATTAAAGTCAATATGATATCCAGAAGATATAACAAACAATATAACGCTGCGAAAAACAAGTCAGTATCACTAGTAAAATAAATGTTATTTTATAAAACACAAGCATTGTTGTTTATTTTTCTAGTGAATATGAGGTACTCACGGTGGTGCTGGTGTTTTTTTCCGAGGCACGAACAAAGAGCTGCTCCGTTCGCACGGTTTTAGCTACAACTACTGTACGACTGAATAAGTGATTAAAGAAAATAAAACAAAACAGAATATAACAGAGAGAGAGAATTAAGTATGAGGAGCCTTTAAGGACACGAGGCTAACTTGCTAACAAAGGCAGGTGTTGAGAGTTCTCCTCAAAATTCAAACAAAAATAATCTCTCTGCCGTTCAATGGTTCCTGATCTCAGTCAGTCTCAGGCTCGGAAGAAGAACAGAGGATTGAAACAAAAAGCAATGCCTGTAAAATGGTGTTGCCCGCCGGCTGCTTCTAGAGAGAGATGATCTTCTTCTTCTTCTTCTTATATTTTTTACGGCGGTTGGCATCCAGCGTATTGATGCATTACCGCCACCTTCTGCTCCGGAGTGTGGATCAGAAAATAGGTTTTAGAGAGATGATAATACAAAGCTTCTGTTGCGCATGCAAATTTAATTTACGCTTACAGTCTTATGTACACTTCCACAACTCTTACCCTGCGTATGCAAATCTTTTTGACGTCATTCTACCTTCATAAAACAGACCGTGGTGTTTTGTGTTGTAGTGGCTAGAGACCAGATGAGCGGAGAAAAAACCTGTCGTGTCACTGATCGGGTGAAGAGGATTCTGGGTAATGTAGTTTTCAGCACCGAGCGAGTCAGAAGATCAAAAGAAAATGTTACTGGGTTAGGTCTCACGTGTATCTTTGCAGCAAATCTCATATTTGAACTGCACGCACGCCCACAGAAAACAATAACTGCTTTGATTGCCATATTCAAGAGATGTCTGTACAACAAATCAAAGGAGTACGGCCCTATTAGATAGCCTATTATTCATGAAAAACAAGCAGTATGAATTTCTGTGTAAATACATACCAAAAAAAATAAATTCAATGTATTGGTATAACTTTTTATTTATAATGGATTTTCAGGATAAAAGTTGTTCTGCTTGTCATGAATGTGTACAAATTAGTGTATTATTTTATCATTTAAATTTATTATGTATTTGAATGCTGCATTGAATATTATTATTATTGGCATATATTCATTCATTTATTCATTTTTATTTGTTTGTAATGTTTTAGTATTTGAAATCTGGACTGAGTGTTGCTTGACCTTGATTAACATGTCATTAAAGGCATTTGTGTGGTTTCCTGTTTTTCGACACTGCCTTATTTTGGCATGTAGTATTGGAAAGTCAAATGAAACGTGACTCAGCAATCAAGAAGCTCTGTAATGCCTTTAGCAAAAATAAGTTTAGGCTATTTTTATGAGTAATAATCCTGAAGAATGTTATGGGATTGTTCTTTTATGATGGGTTATGAATGGATGATGATGCCTCATCGTTAGCCATCCTGATTATTGATTAATGTCAGGCCCAGTCAAGTTTATTGTCTTTGGAAGAGTAAAGAATACAAAAGAGGCCATGTAGACATAATAAACAATAAATAGCAGATCTCAAACCTGTCCAAGAGGATAGAGGTATCCAGTAGGGCTGGGTAAAAAATATAGATATCGCGATATTAATCGATTATCATTTTTACAGAACGATATCGATTCTTAAATCCCAAGAATCGATTAGTCTAGCCTGTTTTCAGTTAATGGACGGAACATTGAAGGGCACTTCCCATCCAATATATGCAATAAGCATTGTGCTTTGGTACTTTTAATATGAAACAAAGTCTCAGATTTCAAATTCTGTCCATTGTATTGCAGTATTCAAACAATAAATGCCGTTTTGGCGCTGTTTAATGTGGAGTGACAGATCGCTGTAGCGCCTCAGTTCAACAGACGTGGCAGCGCGTAGCGCACGCAAACTGATCATCTCCTCCACATTAATACCAGTTTCAGCACAAAATAAACATGACTAAACATCTGAAGGTAAGTTAAAAGAAA